AAAAAAAAAAAAAAAAAAAAAATTGGCATAACCATTGTCTTCAATTTCTCATGCTGGGACGACTGTAGTTAGCTAGTGCAAAATTTTGGAAGGATAAGCAAGCTGCATTGAGGTGGCCCAAGCTCTAGTCTGCTACACAGCCGTTTTTAGTGTCGTCACGCCACGCTCCTCCCCACCAACTACTAGAGGGGAGGAGCGTTGCGTGACGACACAAAAAACGGCTGTGTAGCAGACTACCCAAGCTCAAGCTGGGTGATCATGGCAAAAATATAAAACATGAATACGATAAAATTCCCAATTAAAATTCCTTTTCTTACTTCCACGATGTATTACTTGCTGTCTGTGCCCTTGCTTTCCCGATTCGAGGCGATATTTGCACCGAATTCCCTTCTGACCTTGCAAAACGTACTGTGATTGGCCAAATGGTCGGGAAAGAACGTGTGACGAAAATGTTCGTGGCTCGTGACTCGTTCGTTCGTGACATCTGCGGGAGCTCCGGCGACAGGATTACGTAAATTTCATCAGAGGAAAATCCCAGCCATAAACCTTTCCTCGAAGACTTCCCATATAAATATTGATCAAGAATCATGTCAGGTAATGGCAAGAATCCTAAACGTTTCGCAGTTTTAGTTTGCGAAGATGCAGAAAAATGGGGTGGAAAGGATCACATAGGACAGCATTTCAAGACCCTTTTTGAACGCCAAGATGACACTGAATGGCGTTGGTTTGACGTTTGTGCAGGGGAGCTGCCTTCTGAGGAAGATCTCGATAAATTTGACGGTTTTGTTTTCTCTGGAAGTCACCATTCTGTTAACGACGATAAAGATTGGATAAGAAGAGCAGAAAATTTCGTCGTTTCGTTGTCCGAAAAACCTACTTCGCGCTTGGTTGGCATCTGTTTCGGGCATCAACTCATTGCTAAAGCCTTAGGTGGCGTTGTTAGCGAAAATCCGTCTGGAAAATTCATTTTACAGACCGAGAAGGTCACAGCCACAAAAGAAAGTTCCGTGACATCGAAATTGTTCGAGAACGGGCCGATAAATGTCTTGGAATCGCACAGCGAATGCGTGGAAGAACTTCCCCCAAAGGCAGAAAGTTTAGCAAGCTCGAGTACTTGTAAACACGAGATTGTTATGTTTACTGAAAACATTTTGGGATTTCAGTTTCATACGGAATTTACGGCAGAGGAGTGCGAGGAAAAAATCCTCCCCAGTTTATTGAGTCATAACATTTTGACGGAGAAAGAGGGAATTAAAGTTCAGGAGTCATTGAAGATTCCCGTCCATTCTGATCAAGTGAACAATGCGGTGCGTGATTTTCTCCATCAGTAAGATTATTTACATGTAAGTTAGGAAATATTTTGGGAGCAGAGGGCCATTGATTTTCCGATTAAAGGGCCTCAAGGGTGCACAGGGTAGTTACGAAACGACCGTCTACTGGATAAGGTTACTATGGAAACTCATCAAGAGGATAACTATGAGGAGACCCTCACTTGGGGGAGGGGGGTAGGGTAAATATGTCAGTGGCGTAAGCCATTAAGCCCAGACTTAACAAAACTTTGGGTTAAAATGATTTCATGTAATCTGCCATGTGACAGGGAATGATTGCACCAAATAGTGAAGCTTCACTCTCTTACAGAAATCGCCTCCAAATCACCATTTTTATGTGTAAATAGAAGTCCTTTCCTGCATGGTTTTTGCGTCGGTATCTAGTATACAGGGGCATCCAACGACAATTTTCGGAAAATATCTGTTCGGAAGACGATTTGAGATCTAGAATTTTCGGAACATTTGTTGTAAAATTTCTTGCTTGCCTGCCTCTCCTAGGATTTTCGAACATCTAAAAAATGGTATAATTGCCCATTTTTAATGGATTGTTACCCTTAAAAGGTCACCTAGAATTTTTGGGAGCCTTTTTTCTGGCTGAAATTTTCGAAAAGGCAAGTTTTGATCCCTATAGTTTTCGGATCACTAGACTTTCAGCTAGGAAATCCGAACAGATGAAAAATTTTTAGGGGATAAAGGTATGCCCATATCTACTGTTTAAATACTAAAATATGTTTAACAATGCTATGTTTCAGTGGTTTTGAACTATATTCTCGTTGGGTGCCCCCGAGTATACAGTGAACAGCTGAATCTTTTGCTGAGCCATCTTGTTTTCTAAGTAGGTGTGTTGTAGGGGTCCCCTATGTTTATTTTGATTACATGTCAGATTCATGTTGGTTAAAAACTTGGAATTTTGTAGGGTCTTAACTCGTGAAAAATATCTAGTAAACTACATGCCATTGTCCTTGTTGCTGTTAAGCTCCTTTTTCACCGTGTCATATGTCTTTGTACATTAGTGTTTCACGACTATGATGCTCGTCAGAATTTTCACCCTAACAGGGTCTCAACTGTAGATTCATTGGCTGTTACATTTTATTCATAACAACCAATTCCCCACTCCAGAAGCTATAAAAATAATGGATACAAGATTTTGGTGCAACAATTTCTGGAATCGTTTAAGTGGACAAGTGTTACTTGTAATTGGTTAATGTTTGCCTTGAATACCATCGACCAATCATAAGTAAACCCAAATGATCCCACGAATCATTGCGTCAAAATCTTGTCCTCATCCTCTCCCCTTAGTTTCTGGA